GTAAAATGCTTTTTGACAATAGTTTGACTTCTGAGTGAGTTAGTCTTGCTTTAGAATACCAAAAGCTATGCAGTATAACAGAAATAACGTCAGGTGAACTGAAAAAAAAAGACAAAGAATCATGTGCGTACATTTTAAATTCCCACCTGAAATGTATCTTAACCTAATGCCAGAAAGGGGGAAAAGAAAAGAAGGTATAATCTGCAATTACAAAATCACTTTAACCAAGTAACCAGGATCAATTATAGACCTCTTAAACCTTTAACTATTCCCCAGTAAGTTCCACTTCTCTGTCAGCTGTTACAAACTCAGTGAAAAACACCACCATGCACATGAAAGTTCTCTTCAAAGCTCCCTTTTTCCCCTTTTTTTTTCTTTTTTTTTTCTTTTCCCCTTTTTTTTGTTTTTTTTGTTTGTTTGTTTGTTTGTTTGGGGTTTTTTGGTTTTTTTTTTGTTTTTTGAATCAGCTGCAGTTTCAGCAGCTTTGTCTTAACACCACAAGTGCTAAGCCCTGCAGGTCTGTGTCCTCCGGGACTCCCCTCAGCGCAGGCAGCAGCATGCCCCGCTCTGGCTCGGAGCTCGCAGTACCCCGGTTCCGCAGCCCCACGTGGCAGCATCAACAGGAGCCCCGCCCCCGCTCTGCTCTCAGCATCGTTCTGCCTAGGCGTCCTGCTCTGTGCGGGCTCTCCTCCGCCGATGTTGTCTCTGTACTCTCTGGATGTTGCTATCTCCGCAGTCTGGGTTGTAGTCACGTCTCAGTTTCTGTCCATCTGCCTCTTCCAGTTGTTTTCACTGTTAACAAAAGCTTAACAAGCCGTTGCTCTTAAAAGTTCCATCAGTTCTAAGTAGTTACCGTGCAGAAACAAATGAGAGCAGTTAGACAATTTTACCGAGGGTCTGCATGGAGAAAAAAAGAGGCTTCAGGGCCACAGCCGGCCCCTCGTTCTGCGGTGGGTCTTGAACCTATGACCCAGGGATTCACAGTCGTATGCTTTACCAAGTGAGCTATCCAAGCTCCTTTGGGACTAGCTGCGCTCCCTTCAAGCTACTCAGGCTCTCTTCAACTAACACAGCAGCAACAGCCCTAGGGAGTTTCTGCGTTTGAAAGGTTTTAGACACTACTTTCACAAGCTTTTGTTTTTCAGTCTTAGAGTAGCAATGCTTAACTCCGTGTCTTCTATCTGTGACTGTTGTAGTGAAGTTATAACTTGCAAAGCAAACATAGTTTTGTCTTTTGTTCAAGTTAAAACATTTTTAAAAGTTCAAAGAATGTTGTGGGCGGGCTTTACGGAATTCCATAGTTGCTGTCCTTTGTAAAGTGGAGCAGCGCGGGGTGCTCCAGGCGCCTCTACCTTCCCGTGTCTTCCAGTAGCCCTCTATCTTGCCTCGCCCTCCTGTCTCGATCTGTCTTCAGGGCACACTGCTTGAGGGGGGAGGGGATGGGGGCTGTTCGATCGCGATCTGAGGCGGCCCCGGTATTTTACTTTCGATTTTTACTTCAGGCAATTGCTTTTCGTTACTGGGGTTCCACGGCGGTAATTCGTCATCTAAACCCCACGCTATTTGTTCTGCCTTAGTCATGAGAGGACATGTCAACGGAGGATAATTAGGGGGGTCTCCAAGAGGGGGCCAGACACCCTGCGTTTCGGCCGCGCGTTCTGCCTTTGTTTCAGAGCTATCGGGAGGCCGCACCGCGGCTTTAACAGCCGCGGCGACTTACGCCTCGCCATGTAGCCGTTCAATCAGTATTCGCAGAGTACGGTAAGTTTTGCTAATGTCTTTGCCCCCTTTGTTCCAAGTTGTACTGATTCCCACAAGTCCTCCCCCACCTTTTGCCACGTCTCAGTCTTATATATATCTTGCGTGGAGGAGAAAAATCCACGGCGGTGACACCAACATAGTAAATCTATCAGCGCCGAACGCGGCAACTGAGCGTCAGTCTTATCAGGTAATTTCATTAGGCTATCAACAACCGCCTTTTCCACTGCTAACGCAGTTAATCCCATCCTGCTTATCTTCCTGACTCACCGGTCAGTCCGTGCACGACCTGTCTTTCTTCTGACGCCCAGCTATAACTTCGCTGGCAAGCAGGATCCTCACAGCCTCTGCAGTCCGATGTTCGATCATCCCCAAGCACGTACGTCAGGGTTCACCAGATGCTGCAGGCAGGCAAGCGAGCAGGAGAGAACCACACACACATCCCCAAGATGCAAGTTCAAATCCAGTTTTATTATTGTTAGGTTGTACAATTTATATTATTCTGAGTCCTGTCCACGCGAACACGAGCACAGAACACCATCGCGATTGGTCAGCACGCGCTGTCCACGCGCCCTAGGTAACCCACCGATTTGTGGTTTTGAAGACCACATTTGCATACCATTTTCGTTATCTCTGTTTTTCCCATCCTGTTTCTGCTGACTCCTGCATTCCTGCAGCAGCAAGCCGTTTCTTATTTTTCTTACCGTTACCTCCTGACCTTTTCAGAACTCAGAATAATCATGCAGAATTGCTAAGGCTCCAACACAAGGGGATTTGTATCTCTCTTGCAGAGTGGAGCCAAGACAAGGAGGAAATCAGCTCTGATAATGGGGGACATCAAGTTAACTTTGCAAAAGGCACAGTGGGCCCTACAATCAACTTGTGCAATAAAGTCACATTGTACAATATTCTGGCTGGTTTCACATCTTAATATAATCACTTTCTCACCCCTCTATGCTCCACTGATCAACTGAATCAAAAGTACCCCCCTCACACCATGGCAACCATTATGCATTCCCATTGTTACAAGTGGTTAAGAAGTTATTGTTATTATGCATTCTCATTGTGACATCAGTTACCATGGTAACCATAATGCAATCTCACCGTTTAGGTCGGTTACCACGGCAACCATTATACATTATCATTGATGTGTCAGTAACCATGGCAGCCATTATGCATTCGAATTGCTACGTCGGTTACCATGGAAAACATTGTGCATTCCCATTGTTACCTACGTTACCATAGCAACCATTACGCATTTTCTTTGTTACCTGGGTTACAATGGAAACCATTATGCAGTCTCATTGTCAGGTTTGGTTACAATGACAACCATTATGCATTCTCATTGTTACAAGTGGTTGCCATAGCAACCATTAAGCATTCTCATTGTTACATCGGTTACCTTGGCAACCATTAAGAATTCCCATTATGACATCAGTTACCATGGCAACCATTGTGCATTCTCATTGTTAAAAGTGGTTACCATGGCAACCATTATGCATTCTCATCGTGACATCGGTTACCATAGCAACCATTATGCATTATCATTGTTACATCTGTTACCATGGTAACGATCATGCATTCTCATTGTGACGTCAGTAGCCATGGCAACTATTGTGCATTTTCATTGTGACGTCCATTAACATGGCAACCATTATCCATTCCCACTGTGACATCAGTTTCCATGGCAACCATTACGCATTCTCATTCTTAAAAGCAGTTACCATGGCAACCATTGTGCATTCCCATTGTTTTGTCGCTTACCATGGAAACTCTTACATATTTTTATTGTTATGGTCGGTTACCATGGCAACCATTATGCAGCCCCACTGATACCCTGGTTACCATGGCAACCATTCTGCAGTCGCATTGATACCTCGGTTACCATGGCAACCATTATGCATTCATAGTTATGTGGGTTACCATGGCAACCATTGAGCATTTACATTGCTAGGGTCAGTTAATATGGCAACCATTATGCATTCTGATTGTGAAGTCGGTTACCATGGCAATCATCATATTATCCCAATGCAACGGTCAATTACCATGGCAACCATTATGCATTCCATTTCTTATGGACGGTTACAATGGCAGCCATCATGCATTCCCATCACTAGGGTCGGTTACCATGGTAACCATTATGCATTCCCTGTTACGTCCCTTACCAGGGCAACCACCTGTAACATAGGTAATATAGAAATGCCAAAAATTGTTTCTGCCTGTCAAAAACTTCCTATCAAACATTCTCTGACAGTTCTCTGCCAGAAGTTCCCACCAGGACTTCCTACATCACTTTTCCAGCCAAAAGATCCTGTCATTGTTTATGGTTATCATATCTCCTCCAACATCTGAACTGGCTACGTGCCAAGAAACCACGTTTAACCTCCTTTGAACACTATAAAAGTTGAGGACAAATTTTGGAAAATCAGGGAGAGGAAAGGCAGAAGAACTGGTGACTGTAGCCGAGAATCTCTGCCCACCTGCCCTCACCTTTTCTCCACCACCGCGTGCTGCCTGCCTGCCACCGGAGACTGGAACTGTGCCGGCCTGGAGAGAGCTGAGGTCACCGTGCCACATGTGGGAGTTCTATCTTATCCTTCTACCCTGACCATATTTCTGAGGGCCCAAAGCTTTGGCTGAGCTGAGACCCTGCACGGCCACACATGGTGCATTGCAGAGAACTAAAGCTGTCAGACCCCCTGCAGCTACAGAGATAACATCCAAAAGCTGCAGAGACAGAGAAAAAAAGGGCAGAAACTGATTCTCCTCTGCCACACACCCAGAGGTTCAGTGGATAAAGGAAAATTCCAGTGGTATCTTTTCTCTGCATCTAGAAATACTCTTAGCATTTTCCAACCTTTTCTTATCTTTTCCTCGTTCTCTTTGCATCTCTCAGTAATTAATAAAAATAGGTTTTTGGTATCAACAGATAACTTGTGTGAGTTTTAGTTTTGCTCAAGTGAATATTCAAAGATCTTTCTCCAATATTTAAGCAGATTGTAAGAGGAGACCATGGAAAAGTGGGAGGAACAGGGACAAGGGTGGAAAAAGGGGAAATGGTCTGGACGGTCTGATGGTACCATGGGGGTCTTAGGGCTCAAGGAGGTTGGGAATGGGGGGTGGCCCCCATGACCTCCCAACTGACTGTGGGGTGCTGGGGCTGCTGGATCCAATCTCAGCCTTGGGTTATGTCAACACTTTCAGTTTAGGGGAATTACACAGGTGGGACTGAACCACTTTTGTCCCCCAAAGCTTTAATGATGGTAAATAAAATCTATTGATAGAAATTAATTATTTAGGGTTACAAATGATCTGACAAAAGATTTTCATCGGAATTATTTACTCCACAATAGAAACACTAAAACTACCAGTAGGACAGCATAAGATAGGACAGTGCTCTACACTAAAGCAATTGTTGAAGCAGTTCTACTCAAGGTGGCACAAAAGCAAGAATTATTTATTAGAGATGGATGGAACTCCCCCAGAACAATGCTCGTGGGGAGATCTCTGCCCTCAACCTCCAGTAGTGACCTTGGGGGTTCCCCAGTCAAGGCAGGAATCTCCACACACCCCCCAAGAAGGGTTCTGTTGGCACAACCTGCCCCTGGCAAAGGGGACTGGCCCTTTCTGGTAGAAAGGGATGGACTGACAGTCACTGGACTCCAGGGGTTGCCTCACCATTGTGGGGGCATTCAGGGTAGGAGCAGTGGCCGAAGCTCTTCCCGCAGTTGGGGCACTCCTAGGGCTTCCCTTACCGGTGGGTCCATTGGTGTCTGGTCAAAGCAGAGCTCCGGGTGAAGCTCTTCCCACACTCCCCACACTTGTAGGGTCTCTCCCTGGTGTGAATGTGCCGGTGCCTGACGAGGTGGAAGTTAAGCTTGAAGCCCTTCCCGCAATCGGTGCAGAGGAAGGGCCTCTCCCCTGTGTGTGTCTGCTCATGCCTGAGGAGATCTGAGCTGGTCGGAAAACTCTTCCCACATTCCAAGCACTTGTAGGGCCGTTCCCCAGTGTGGATGACCTGGTGGTTGCGGAGGTTGGAGTTCTGCCTGAAGCTCTTCCCACATTCCCCACACTTGTAGGGCCGTTCCCCAGTGTGGATGCGACAGTGGTTGCGGAGGGTGGAGCTGTCACTGAAGCTCTTCCCACATTCCCCACACATGTAGGGGCGTTCCCCAGTGTGGATGTGCTGGTGGCTGAGGAGGTGGTTGCTCTGCCTGAAGCTCTTCCCACATTCCAAGCACCTGAAGGGCTTCTCCCTGCTGGGAGGCTGCTCAGGGACCACCAGCTCGGAGCTCCGGCTCAAGCTCCAGCCGCCTTCCCGGCACAGGACGGGTCTTTCCTCCTCAGAGCTCCCTGGGCTGGCTTTGCAGCCCGTCCTCTGGGGGCATCTCCAGGCCTTTTCCTCCCCGCTGCCTTCCTGCCCCAGGGAGCCCTTCAAAACGGCCTCTCCCACCAGGCTCTGCCGGGGGGATTTGTCCTCCGTGCTCTCCGTCCTCGGCTCGGGGCCTGGGGCAGGAAGGAAGAAGGACAGGCAGGGGATTGGAGGGCCAAGGACATCCCCCCAAATCCCAGAACCCACAGGCACCACAAGACAGGGCCAAAGGGACACTGACTTCCTCCTCACCTGCCTGGGGGGCCTGCGGCTTTTTCCTCTTCCTGGCAGCCTCCTCCTCCATCCGCCCAAGCTTTGGGAAGGACAAATCTTGCGGGGGGGAAACAAGGGCTGAGAGCGTTGGCTTGGGGGTTCCTCCTGCCCAAATCCATCTCTAGAACTCACCAGGCATCCTCTGACCATAAAAACCTCCAAAACACCAAGATTCAGCCCAAAAATCCCCAGCCAGGAGCTCCTCCTCTCTGATCTCTCCACTGTGGGATTCTGCAGGTCCCCCCTGGGATCTCCTGGGAGTCCCATGTGTATTTGGGGTCTCCCCTCTATGGGGTCCCTGCCCTCTCCAGGCTGTTGGGGATCCCAGGAATCCAAGGCTCCCCCATCTCCCAACTTCAGGGTTCTGGTGGACCTCCCTATCCAGGGTACCCTCTCTTAGGGATACCAGGGGTTGGGAGGGTCACAGGGGTCCCTTCTCCCCTGACTCTGCTTTGGGGGTTCTGGGCCCCCAGGGCTTCCCCCTCTCTGGGTTCCCCCCCACAAGGCTGAAGGGGGTACTTGGCACCCCCCTTTCCAGGCTGTCCCCTCTCTGGGCTCTTCAGGATCCTGAGATTCCCCCCTCTCCCCACTCCCCCCTCCCCAGGCTACCAAGGCTTCCTCTTCTCCAGGCTCCCCCCTGTCTGCACTGCTGGGGCTCCAAGGGCTCCCCCTCTCCAGGTTCCCCCTTCAGTGTTTCAGGGGTCCCAAGGGTGCCCCCTCTCCAGGCCCCTCTTTCAGGGTTCGAGGGTCCCCCACCTCCAGTATGGCTCCTCTCTGCTCTCCCCACTCTGAGGCTCCTCTTCCTTCCCCTCTTCCTCCTCCATTCCTTCTCCTCCTCCCTGCAGGACCAGCACCCATCCTTGGCCCCCCCTTCCTCCCAAACCCATCCCATCCCGAGGGATTTTGGGGGCAGCAGGAGGGGCTGTGGGAGCCCCTGATTGTGGGGTCGGGCTGGAGACCCCCCGGTGCTCCCAGGACCCCAGGCTGGAGAGTTGTCACCACCTTCTGCTGCCTGGGGGGCTCTGGGGGGACCTCGGCTCCTGGGGGCTCTTCTGCAGCCACAGAACCTGCAGGGACCTCCCCTGGGTGGGGCCTCCAGGTGTTCCAGGAGCTTTGGGATCATCCTGGGAGTCACTGGGACACACTGGGATCATCCTGAGATCAGACTGGGAGAGACTGGGCCACACTGGGATCATGCTGGGAGTGTCTGTAACCATACTGGGGGTGACTGGTACCACAGGGGGGCAACTGGGACTATGCTGGGTGAGACTGGGGTCCTACTGGGACTGCTTGGGACTAGACTAGGAGCACCTGGTGCAACTGGGATCCCAGTGGGAGGAACATGCTGGGGGCAGCTGGGGTCATACTGGGATCACACTGGGAGCAGCTGGGGGAGACCGGGATCATACTGGGAGTGACAAGGAGCAGGCTGGGAGCAACTGGGACCAGGTTGGAACCATGCTGGGGGCACTGGAACCACAACTGGGACCACACTTGGGGCTACTGGGAGCAACTCAGAGAAACTGGGATCATTCTGGAAGCAACTGGGAGTAACTGGGAAGGACTGGGTGCATCCTGCAGCCACCTGGGCCATCCTGGGACTGGCTGGAACCATACTGGAAATGACTGGGATCAAATGAGGAGCAACTGGGACCATGCCTGGGACAACTGGCAGCAAGAGGCAGTGACTGGGTCTATACTGGGGGCAACTGGGTGTGACTGGGAACCTGCTGGGAGAGACTGGGATCATACTGGCAGTGACTGGGATTATACTAGGGGCAACTGGGTGCAACTGGGACCACACTGGGAGGAACTGGAAGTAAATGGCACCATGCTGGGGGCAACTGGGATCATACTGGGATCATACTGGGGGCAGAGCTGGGATCATACTGGGATCATACTGGGAGCAACTGAAACAGTGCTCAAGGTGACTGGGTCAAACTGGGAGTCACTGGGACCACACTGAGGGTGACTGGGAGTGGCTGTCAGCAACTGGGATCATGCTGGAAGTAACTGGGAGCAATTGGGAGCATGCTGGGGAAGACTGATATCATACTGGGAGTGACTGGAACCAGTGACTGCAATAATACTGGGAGTGACTGGTATCATACTGGGGCTTAGTGGGAGCAATTGGGACCATGCTGGGATTAATGGCATCATACTGGAAATGACTGGTTTCATACTGGGAGCAAGTGGAACCACGCTGGAGGGAACTGGGATCATACTGGGAGTGACTGGAAGGAACTGGTATATTGGGTTCATTTTGAAAATGGCAGGAAGTGACTGGGATCATACTGGAGGTGACTGGGACCACACTGGGGGCAACTGGGATTACAATAGGTGTGCATGGAACCTTACTGAGGGTTACTGGGAGCCTCTTGGCATATGCTGGGAGCCAACTGGCATCAGCTGGAAGATACTGGAACCATGCTGGGGGGACTGGGACCACAGTTGGGGCAGCTGGAATCATACTGGGAGAAACTAGGCCCACACTGGGAGTCTCTGGAACCATACTGGTGGTGAGTGGGACCACACTGGCAGCAACTGGGATCAACTGGGAGTGACTGGGTCTACACTGGGGGCAACTGGGAGTGTCTGGCACCCTGCTGAGGGAGACTGGGATCATACTGGACTCACAACTGGGAGTTAATGGCACTACACTGGGGCCAATTGGGACCATGTTGTGGGCAAGTGGGATATAGTGGGAGCAACTGGGCTCATGCTGGAGGTGACTGGGCTCATCCTGGGAGTTACTGGGCTCTGGGAAGCTCAGGATGTTCAGGGCAACCCCCCTCCCACTGCTCTGCATTCCCAAAATTCTTGTTCCCAGTTCCCACTCTGGCCCTGACCAGCAGATCTGCTCTGGGATCCCATTCCCTGGGGGCACTTCCCTGCCCTCTCCCCACCTTCCTGCTGCTGGAAATCAGCACTTTGGAGCCTCATCCCATTGTTTCCTCCTGCTCTGCCCTATTATTATTGGGATCCCCCTACACCCCTTTTTTTCCAGGCACTGGGACCCCCTACCAGGCCATTCCCGGTTTTCCAGCCTCCAGATCCCCCTTTCTTTGATTCCTGGGGGCACAGGATTCTCCCAGTTTTCCCAAAATTAAGGACACAGAGCATTCCCAATTTTCCCAGTTTGGGTCTGGAGGCACAGGATTCTCCTGATTATCTAAAAATTAAGAATGAGACTCAGAGCACTCTCAGTTTTCCCAAAATTAAGGAATGGGACATGGAACATTGCCAATTTTCCCAATTTGGGTCTGGAGGCACAGGATTCTACCAATTTTCCCAAAATTAAGGACACGAAACATTCCAAATTCTCCCAATTTGGGCCTGGGAACACAGGATTCTCCCAGTTGTCCCAAAATTATGGAATGGCACATTCCCAGTTTTCCCAATTTGGGTCTGGGGGGCTGTATAGGGCTTCTGTGGCCAGGTTTTGGTACCGGGGGGGGGGCTCCAGGGTGTGTTCTGTGATCAGCTGCCAGAAGCTTCTCCCGTGTCCAGTACGGCCAATGCCACCCTGCTGGGGCTGCTGAGGGTCCTGTGTGGATTGGGCCCCCCCCCCGGGCTGCCGGGGATCCCGGGAATCCCAGGGGTCCCCCCTCTACGGACTCCCCACTTTGGGGTCGTGGGGGTAACTCTTCTCCGGGCTGCCGGGGCTCCCGAGGGTCCTGGGGGTTCCCACTCTCCGGGGTCCCGTTTAGTGTTACCAGGGGGTCCCAGGGGTCACTTCTCCCGACTCTGCCTCCCGGGGCCGGGGTCCCTCCTCTCTCGGCTCCCGCCCTCTCAAAGCTCTTGTGGGTCTCGGCTCCTACCCAGTCTCAAGGATCCCCCTCCTCTCCAGACTCCAAGGGGTTCCCCCTCTCCGGGACACCCGTTTAAGGGGCCCGGCGCTCCCTCTGTGCTCCCCCCCCCCACTCCCGGATTCCGGGGGTCCCCCAGCTCCGGGATCGACCCTCTCCGCTCTCCCCACTCCGCGGCTACCGAGGTTCCCCCCCGGCTCTCACAGGGGACCCCAAAACCGGTCTCGCCCCCCCCGCCATTACCGAGCGACCCCCACGTGCTGCTTCCTCCTCTTCTTTGTTCTCCCGTCTCGGCTCCTGCCTTGGCTGTCCCGCCGCTTTTTTCGTGTTTCCGCCTCCGGGATCCGCCCCCTGCAGCCCTTCCCCCTGGCCCAGCCCCAGCGCCCCTTTGAGCCCCCCTTCCCCTCCCTCCTGCCCAAATTGCCGTCCCGGGGGGCGCTGGGGGCGAAGGGGGGGCCTGGTGGGCTCGAGGTGGGGAGCGCTGGGGCTGCGGCTTTGCCCGCACACGGAGGAGCTGCCCCCGCAGCCGGGGGGGCTCCCCGCACCACCAGTGCCCAGAAAGATCTCCCCACATGAGGGCTTTTGGGGGTCTGGGTGGGGTCAGAATGGCTTGAGGGGTCCTTGTGGGGCTCAGGGTCGGTTTATGGGGGTCCCGGCACCTTTTGGGGAGCGCTGGGTGCCGTGGTGGGGTGCAGGTGCCCCCCCCAAAGCTTCCCAAAACAGGGTGACACCGGGGGGGGACACACGGGGATCCCCATTCCTGATCTATCCTGGAGTCACCACGCTGGGGGCAACTGGGATCATACTGGGAGCGACCAGGACCACACTGGGACTGACAGGGAGCATTGAGTGGTGTGACTGGGAGCAGGCTGAGGTCGACTGCAATATACTGGGAGAGACTGGCAGTGACAGGGTGCCGCAGTCCGGATCGAGGAATGGGACACGCAGTACACAGGGGTTCGTGCTCTACTGTAGATTGTTTATTAAAGCGCTTGGGTACGAGGGATACAGAGAAAGAGAACGCACCATCAGCAAGTGCACAGTTGCACTGCACCAGAACAGAAGGTGAACAGGGTTTTTATAACCTTAGGGATGGAAGGGTCTGGAAACTAGGAGGGGTTTAAGATTGACAACTGTGGGGGACCAACAAGGGATTAGTAACATGACTACATTAACTTTCAACCTATCACAGTGAATAGAAGGTGTGGTAAGACTGCCCACACTGCGGCAAATCTTATCCAATCATAACCAAGAAAACTCTAACCAATCAGGGATCAAGAATTTTGTGAGGGGAGAACATATTTGAAAAT